AAATAAGATTTGCATATGTAATCATTATAAAATTAACATGCTATTTTACATTCACATACTAAGTCTGATGTGCTGCAGCCCCAGCACATTTTACAATACAAATTTTACAATTTGTATTGTAAAATACAAATTTTACAATTTGTATTGTAAAATACAAATTTTACAATTTGTATTGTAAAATACAAATCTGGTTTGTATTTTACTTTGATAACACCTCTCAGTTTGTAACAGCCACATTGCAAGTGTTCAATGCCACATGTGGCAAGTGGCTACAGTAAAGGACTGTCCAGTTCTAGGTCTACCCCAGTGCTTAAGTTCTATGGATTAGAATCAGAGTCACAGCTGGGAGTAAACTCAGAAAGCAAACTTTTTTTTTTTTAAATAAATGAGGAAACTGAGGCACAGAGTTTTAAATGGCTGCACAGGGACTCTGGCTACATAGTCCCTGGCTACACAGGGACTATTCCCACTCTGATATGATGTTACAGGTAACTCTCAGAGTTAAGAAAAAAATTACTGTCTTTGATATTTTCATGCAATTTATAGATGTGTTATTTCTCACCAAAATTCAAGATGTTACCTTATAGGAGACAATAGTAATATGCATAATCCATACAAATATTTTAGTCCTAATTGAATGAATTTTAGAGAATACACTAAATTTGGGAGAACGACAGTACCATACAAAGCATGGATGGSCTGGATTCTGGGTCCAGAACAAGAGAATCTATGGAAAAAATTAGAGTGGGCTAAAAAAAAAATAAATAAATAAAATTTAAAAATCTATATGCCCAGAGCATTCCAAGGGCTACCTGCCTGTTGGYCTATGGAATAACCCCTCCTTTTGCAATAAGAAAACTCCCGCTGTGCAAGGCAGCAAGGGCTGCATCCAGAATCTCTGCCCCTCGAATCATGAGGGTTTGCCCCTCCTATTTTTGAGGCCATCCCATAGTGATGACATAGCCTACCACTAGGGAACTTGCAATGGTGCAGTCCCCTAAAAACAGCTCTGCTGGTGGGCAGGCAGAGGGGCCATGTGATCTTTCATGCTTCTTTCAACTTAGCTGTAGTGCTGGGGCTGCAGCACGTCAACCCTCCCTCATCTTGAAGGGTTTCTTTGGCGTGTTATAAACCTGGATGTCTCTCAAGGCCTCAAATGTCAGCCCAAGAAGGGTGCTGACCCCTGATGTTGCTGGAACACACGGTATGGGCTCAAGAGCACAATGTGCCAGTACATCCTCACCTACACGGGTACTGTGAATTTCACACTTGAAAGAAACATTTGCTTTGGGTGATTGCCTGTTGGTATGTCTGTCATTAACACATCTGATGAAAATTCTCATTTATCACTTAACGGCCTCCAGAAATATCATGAAGGTCAAAGTAACACATTGCTTTGGTGAGGGGCTCAGAGGGAAATTTGCTGGAAGGGTGTAGCACCATATGGAGAAAAGTGGATTTGAACCCTCATTGGGGCCTGAGGGCTTCCCTCTTAGTTTTCCAGCCTATCCTTCTTTCGTTTGTAAAATACAAAAAAAAAAAAAAAAAAAAAAAAAGGTATAGGAACACATGTGGTAATCTGTAAAGAGATATTAAAACACAGGTATTTATAAAAGTATGATTCCCAAGAAGGTAGGTATATAGAATTTTAATTAATCTTAGTTCTTATACTCAATTTGAGCTACTTCTGGATTAATTACTATTTAAAATAATGCTTTCCAAAATTTTAATTGTAACTAGAAAATTGGTTTTAAAATGCATTCTCATTGCCTTGATTAAAAAAATGTACTTAACATTTACTTCATTACTTTTTCCTTACAGGCATAACTGAAACTACCTAAAAAAACTACAACTATTTCCTGGATCAATTAGTCATTTAGCTAGTGAGGCCATTGCTTTGCAAATATGTATAAACAAACTAGTTTATACAYATTAAACACTTTAAAAATCCATGAATTTAATGTATGACTTTACCCAGGACATTTTTTTGGGGGGGTACAGGTATTTAACTCAGGGGCACTCAACCACTGAGCCACATCCCCCACCCTATTTTGTATTTTATTTAGAGACAGGGTCTCACTAAGTTGCTTAGTGCCTCACTTTTTCGGAGGTTGGCTTTGAACTCTCAATCCTCCTGTCTCAGCCTCCTGAACCAGTGGGATTACAAGAGTGTGCCACTGTGCCCAGCCCTTTACCCAGGACACTTAATCTGCCTGGACCTATTTCTTCCTAACCATGTTTCAACAGCAAAAGTCTATTCTATCTGTAATGAAAATCTTGAGTGTTTATATTAAGAGCTAGTTTTGTTAATCAACAAGATCCAGGACCTAAGATTCTTCCTTTTCTGTAAACAAAGTTGAAACTCTTTTTTGGCTTTGTCTGTTTTAAATAAGAAGTCATCTCACTTAAAATTCATCTGAAAGTGCTTGACTGAGCATAAATATCCTGGCTGTGTTCTTGCCAAATTCTACAAAGATTGATTATAGTATTCATCAAGATTATGATTACAAGTTGCACTGTCCCTTTAAGTGTACAAGCACTCCCTGTTTTCTTAGAATGAATGCCCTATCCTCAATTAAGGAAATGCTCAAGAAATGGAAATGTTCCAAATTACACAAACCTGTATCACAAATCTGCGGTAAATAAATCTTAGACACAGGAAAATGTCCACATTAAATTCTCCAAACTCAAAACCACATAAAAAAATAATAAAGTCAAAACAACATGTAGGTGGTGGTATTGGTCAGAAATATTTTAGTTAAAAATATGGCAGCTAGTGGGTTTTATGCTATTTCATGGCATAAAGGGGATGATAATAAACTGATCAGTTCTCTTTGGAGGAAAATCTATTTTCCAACCGCCCTGTTGAGAGTCAGGTGCAAATCTATAAAAACTGGTAGATCATTAAGAAAACATGAAACCAGAAGTATCCATACAGGACTGAAGAAGAGACAGTGTTTTGTAAATGAAATGCTTGAAAACATTTCTCATTCTTGGAGACAGAAGTAAAATGCTAGAGTGTCCATTGGATGTCACTGAAGTCCCCGGGGTCCCCTAGGCCCCCCTCTGCTTCTAAGTAATTCATGAAAGCAGCCATGGCTGTGTCCTCATTGTCACACAGGGCATCGAAATCCAGCTGTGCGCTGTCACCTAGTGAATTAAAATACAGGCTTGCATAAGTGAAGGTTACCAAAGTCACACATTTCACAAACTTGGAGGTCGAATCAAAAACGGCAAAGCAAGGCAGAGACACCATCCAAGGTACTATCAGAATGTGAAGCATAGGTCTAAAATTGGCAAAACCTGATGTGTTTTTAAATAGGTCACCTATTTTTATAACAATCTGATGTTAGATAAGTTGCATTTGATTCATCCAATGTCCAGAAGCTTTGTAATAGGAGATGGTACTGCTAAAGGGAACAGACTCTCAAAGTGTTGAAGTTAGGGCCTTGGGTATACGTGCCTGGAAGGGCAAATTTAACTTTCATCTGCCTCGAGAAAGATTTCCATTTGTTTGAGCCTAAAAGCAAAGGGCTGAGACAAAAGTGTCATCTTCCGAAAAATCTAGAATTTTCTTACAGGTAGGTAACCAGATTTCTAATTGAAAAAGGATATATAGAAGAACCATCCAAATTAGAGATAGAAAGAGGTTCTAGAAATTAAGGGTTAAAACACAGATAAAGATGAACTGGTTTCTGGCTATCTTTCTAAGTACAATAGAATTTAAGATGATTTCTATGTGGTTCTCTGTGTGAAGCTGAATCAAATCCCTTGATTCTCTTTAGCCTCAGCTTTCTAGAAAGTGATGTCAGTTATGGGTGTCTGAAAATCTTTGATTCAATTTATTAAAATCTTATACTTCTTTTTGTGATATGTATCCTTTAAAAAATTTTTGGTGATTCTTGAATGGATATTTTTTTCCCTTTACTTAGAAATACCTTAGTTGTATTTAAATTGCATGTATTCTGGGCTGGGGTTGTGGCTCAGTGGTAGAGCGCTTGTCTAGCATGCACAAGGCACTGGGTTCAATCCTCAGCACCACATAAATGTAAAATAAAGATATTGTGTCCACCTAAAAGCTAAAAAAAATAWATAAAWAAATAAATAAATAAATAAGTAAATTGCATGTATTCAGCAACATCTAAAACCGACTGAAATAACAACTGAATTCTTCACGGCACCTATATTTTAAAATCAAGAGTATGGTTTTTCTATTTAGAATTTGGAATGAGAAAAATCTTAGTTTTAAAACAGTGTGCTTCTTCAGAAGTCTCCTGTGCCTGAAAACAGTGAGTAAGAGGAAGTTTCTGGAAAACTAACGTGGCCAGCTGATGCCAGAGACAACTTACTGAGGAGAGGTTCGTGAGTGCTCTGGCTTTGCCTGGTTGTCTCCAGCTCCCCTGTTTCTGAAGGACTCAGTGAAAACAACTCTTGATTTGACATCTGCAAAACACGGAATAATGAACAGTTAGGTTTGCACTTGAGTGAGATAAAAACCCCTTGGCAGTTGGCAGACAGGGACCTGCCACCAGCACCACGGCTCCCTGGCAGCGAGCACTTACTGAGTGCTACAGGGCAAGCACCCCACGGGCAGCATTCCATTTCATTTCTCAAATGTGAGGATCTGAAGTCTAAAAATCCATTATCTTTCCCAAGGTGTTGTGGCCATGATTATAAACCAAGGCCACTTGGCTCCAAAGCCACCACTGTGAACCACAACGAAAGGTACATGCTAAAAGGAAAAATTTTACATGAAGAAGGCAAAGTTTATGACCACTCGGTATCAAAGTCAT